GAAATGGCTATAAAACTGGACCCAATTAAAGTTTTAACAGGCTGTCATGGAAAACATTGGCTTCTAGATGCAGCTGATTAGATGTTCAGTCCGTTTCCCCTTTACAGTAAAGCAGCTTCCCCTACCACAACTGCTTCTGGAGTAGTGATTTACTTGACCTTTACCTTTTGTGCCTTGGCATATTTTACATAGTTCCATGCCATATTACTTTAAAGTTTGATTTTTCTGAATTGCAATACATTTGCAAATTGTTTTGACTACAATAGCAATTAGGCATCCTTTTGCTTAGTATCTGAAAATCAGATCATTAGGCTTTGATAGTAACGCAGGCCCACAGATTACAAAAGGAGCTGCATAGAAAGTGAAGGGAGTGTATGCTTGTAATAATTAGAACATCAGTACAAATTACAGGCTCTGTCTAACTCTGGAGAATAACAAATTAAAGATTTCATAAATCATGAATTGGGTCCCCAAAATCTTGGTGTTTCCTTTAAAGCATGAAATTAAACTAACTTTAATCCTTTTTTACTTGCCACCTTGCAAGCTTTTTCCATGAAAACTGGAGACATTTTTTTCTTTAATAAATATATATATATAAATATAAATTCAGCATTGCAAAATTTATCTCCGGTTTCTAGAAATTTGCAAAGTGTGTGTGTGTGTGTGTGTATACACTTTGCAAATTTCTAGAAACTGGAGATAAATTTTGCAATGCTCAATTTATATTTTCTGAGCAAAAAGCTTACAGACTGATTCCTTTTTTGTAGAAAATAATTCCTCTGAGCACCACTGCAACACTAGTACTAGTAGACAAGTTTTTGTTTTGAGGTTGTTATATGGACAGTTTGTTACCTTTGCTACCTTGCAGATTCATCCTAAAATCAGGATTTAAAAGGTACATAAATTTAAACATCTGTGTGGTTCCTGAGGGATCCGTTATGTTCTATCCCCAGACTTCTGTTTTGTTAGACATTTTATAGCCCCTCACACTACTAAGTTCAGGTAACAGAGGAATTAAATAATTGTGTAAATTAGCTTTTGATCTGTGGGCAAACATTATTGCCCAACAATAAAGCGTTAGCATTATTAAATGCAGTAAACTGAGGCCCCAGGCTCTCATATGTTTACTAATGTACCTAAATAACAAAGAAGTTCAGCGTAGCCAACAAGATGGCTCATTAAGTAAAAGTAAGGGTGTGGCCTAAAGTTAATTAGCTTTAGTTAGTTGGTTTGAAAAGTTAAGATTGGTAGATCAATCAACTCAGCCTCCTTGAAAATACTTAAATATCTGAGATGGTATTGTTATACAAAATAGTCCACACCACGAATGTTACATGACTGATCCAATCCACAGTACATGAAATACAAGTGAGTTAACCTTCCTTACAGAAATTCTGATGTGGGATTTCAGTATTTCAAATGCAAAAATACCTTTACATCTTATTTCCTTTTAAAGAAAATGTCAAATAAAATGAGGTTACAAGTAAAACTGTAACTGCTACGTAGAACCAAAAACATACATTGTCCTTTTTAACATGCATTGGAGAAAGTCAAGTTTATTCATCCTTATTCAACCCAGTGCTTAACATCTAAAGGTACCTATTTGTTCGCCTTCTCCACACTAGCCTTATAGCTAGGGACCTACTTAATTCTGGGTTTCACAGATTTTGTGGAAACTGTGAAATCTGGGATTGTCCACAAAATAAAAACAATTAAAAAACCCCAACCCTTAATAAAAATAAAATGCTGGCTCCCCAAGTGGGAGCCACTGGTCCTCACTGCGAAGAGGAAAAGGCACCAGCTGGCAGGGGGGCATAAAGGGCAGTGGGCAAAATGGCAGCTGCCCCCTCGTCCCTCCTCCCTCTGACAGGGCCTCTCTGACAATCAGTGCTGAGGGCGGGCAGCATGAAGGGCAGCCAGCAATCAAGATGGTGGTCTCCCTCCTGGGCCTCTCTGCCAATTAGTGCTGAGGGGCGGGGCCACCACAAAATCAGCTCTGTGTGCTAAGAGAGGGCTATGAAAAACATGTGTTGCTGCAATTTAAGTAGGTCCCTACTTATAACTGTAGTTGAATTAGTTTGCACTTAAATATTAAAACTTCCAATACAAAATGTATAAGAGAATGGTAGATAGATCCATGCTGTATATATGATGGTCATTCACACCAAGGTACAGCACAAATGCAGACTGAACTCTTGATTTCTGAAAGTTGCTGTCACTATGCAAATCGGAATTTGCACAAACAAAACCTGACTACTGCATGCCCTCAGACATGGTTCCTATATAAAAGTCTGTTGTTGAAAGTCTGGCCCTACAAGCATAAGAACTGATTTGTGTTGAAATAAATATTAGAATTTCTTCTAATGCGCACATTGCTTCAGTATATATTTGCCAACTCCTGATTTTCTGTATCTGAAAGTAAAAACATGTCTTCTGAATCACAAAACTGCTATGTTTTATAGAAGTGCTGTCATTTTTGTTATTCCACAGTAACTCAGTTAGACAAAGTTGTCAATCTGAACATAACATTCAGCCCTCAGACCTGCCTATTGCATTTCTGTGCAGAACCAAAAGACATATTGTAAGAGACACCTGCTAGTGTGTTGTGATAAAATACACTTTGATTTCTGTAAGTCACTTTCAATGTGACAATTCTTTGGATATCTTTGCCTGACAGGGAGATTTTTTTTTGAAAGTTTGTGCAAAAATAGAAATATGTTTGGGCTGGAAGAGCAGGAATAATAATAAATAAACTGTTTGTTTAAAAATGAAACTAAATACCCGTAAGAATAGTGTGCACATAATCTGTGAACTAGTGTTTTGGGGTCTTTATTTGAGGACCTGTGACTTGGCTTGATTCAAGGACAAAAAAAATTCTACAACCATCTTCCTTGAAAATAATTAGCACTTGTACAGAAACCAGAACCATCACCTTCATATAATGGTGGTTTATTTTGCTAATTTCATATGAGAGTTCAATTGCTTTTGAAATTGAGTCCTAAAGATGAGTTCAATATCATGCTTAATTGAAGATAAGTATCCTGACTGTGCATAATGGCTATAGGGACATAACAGACAGAGGAAAATGCATTTATTTTGAAGAAGAAAAGTGAGGGATACCATAGATTGAAGATCACAGAGCTGCAAGACAGCCTCACTGTTTTTGCCAGTCTTGCTGCTTGGCGATGCCAGAGAATGATTCAGGAGACATGGAGAACATGCACAAGCTTTAATACCTGCCTGTCTTTATAGCCCCCTTTTAACACATGCAGGTAAAGGTAGGATGGGATCTAATGCTTGATTCCACAATCTTGCTTCCTGCTACGCTCCTTATTGCCAGCACAGAGGGAACTAAATCTCCATGTGCCCCAGTTGAGAGACTCTAAGCATGGCGGCAGCCCATGTACCCCACAGTGGTGATCCTCCGACCCCAGGGGTTACCTGCACTCCCAGAACAGGGGGAATCACCCAGTGGTGATCCTCCAAGCCCCAGTGGTTTCTTGCACCCCGTAGCCCAAGAGATCATGGCAGCCTCAATCCCCAGGGCCTGGAGGTTTTCCACTGGGCATGGTGCACCCCTGTGGTTGGGATCCCTGCCAACATACAAATTAAAGCTTGAGAGCAAGCAACTATGAAGTTAGTACACATTTTGGAGGTCTAACTTTATAACTGGTTGGAGCTTTTTATTGTGTGATAGCTCCTTTGTACATGTAGCTGGTCTTCAGTTAATTGTGCAAGACCTGTCAGTGTAGAGGGGGCCTATCAGATGGTTTGAAACTCAAGATTCATTTTGGCTTGTTAAGAAATCAAGGATCACAGGTATGCTGGAGCTTCTTGGTGTTGTCTCTGCCTTTCTTCATATCAGAAGCAAGGCCTTGACAAAGCAGTTCGTTATTCTGTAGATTTTCACCTTCAAGTTAGAAATGTGCATCTTCCAGAGAAAAAGGGCCATATGTTTATTATGGGTACTGGTCTGGATTGAAATACAAAAGAGCCCCGTCACAAAGAAATTATGGTCTCTAGGTAAATGTGTGCATTTGAGAAGCTACACGGAGAAGTCAGAGTAGCTGGTCTTACAGTAAGGTACTATGACACTAATTTGGTTCTTTGTTTCCTAATGTTCTTCAGCGTTTGTGCTAGGACTGGCAGAGGAGAAGGTCCTGCTACTTCCTATTGAGCTATCTGTTTCCACGGTTTCTTGTGTGAAGTAGAGATGTGTGCCTGCATTGCTCCTGCTGCCAGAACTGAAGCTTAAGTCATGTGAGGTGTTTCCCATTAGAATGAAGATGCCTTGGTTCAAGGCCCATTCCAAGCCTAGCCTACTGATCTGCTCAGCCAGTCTGCCTTTTGATTCAGGGTTCCTTTGATATGCATAACTCTACTTGGTAAACAAATCTCTGTACACAGTAGGACACAATATTTAATTTTGAGAAAATAAGATGTTTTGGGCTTCTGGTTTCTTCCTGACTGGACACACTGGATGCATTTTAATGCAAATTAGCCTATTTTAATGCACATTAATTCATCACAAAAAACATGTGCTTTCACTAATGTCCATTAAAATAGGCTAATGTGTCTTTTTCTAGTACCTCACAATGGAGGTACTAAATTTTAATGTGCATTACCAAAAGCACATTAATTAACATGTAGATGCACCCATTGTGATCAGGGTCATCCGGGCTGGTCTCTGGTATAATATTAAAATTTTAGGACAGTTAGTCTTTTGAAGCTCTGGCAAGTTATGTTCTCCTTCCTTAGGCCTTCTGTTGTCAGATTGTTGTTTTCCATCTTTGAAGGTTCTTGTTTGTCAGTATCCCGAGATCTAGCTGCTTGCAGACATTAAAAAAGCGACGCTTGACTTTTAACTCGGCACACTGCTGCGCCCAGTGCTTGCCCAGAATAGGCACTGCATTAGTTGGACCCAGCTCGCCCAATGTCTGTATAGATTGGATGCTTAAGTGTGGCTTTTTTGGCACTTATCTAATGGCTGATTGAATCAGCTATTAAATAAAAGCGCCAAAAAGCCCTGCTAAAGCACCAAATCTATACAGATGCTACAGAGCTAGGTTGAAGTAATGTGTTGCTACTTCTGGTGCTTTGTTTTTGTTTTGTTTTTTTAATGTCTGGAAGCAGCCTTTACATATGGAATGACCTTTACATTGTCTGTGTTGGAATCAGGACTGGACATAAAAGAGAGGCCTTTGGATTTCTATCAGTCAACAAGCACCTAAAAATGCAGAGGTCAGGTTCTCATTGCAGCAGAACTCGGTGCATTCAGTGAAAAAACTACTTCATCTGAATGTATGATGGAGATTTAAATCTCTGTAGGAAAAAATTAAGAGCTCAGCTTTTGTAACACCTGCAACTGCTGTTATGCGCACACATTACCAGCCTAATTCAAAGCCCACTGAAATCAGTTGTAAAGGGTGTCTGTTACACAACTGAATTCACACTTGAACGGTTAATGATGATGTAGAGATTATGTATGTATTTAAATGTCAAAAGTTGCCATTGAATTGTGCAGTGTAATTGCAAATTGACATTAATGCAATGTAAAGTGTTTTTCTCGTATTTGTGTATACGTATTCATTTATGGTGTGCCTGTCATGAGCACTCAGCCCACAAGTGTGAAGTTTAAAACTGCACAGAAAATTAAATTAACGTTCAGTTTAAGACCTCAGTGTAATGTTCCTGGCTTAGTAGAGCTATTGAGCTTACTGACACAAGCCCAGAGGCTGCTACATTCACTTGGAGAATACAGCATGTGGAGTGGCATGGCACAGTGTGCTTATGGCAACACCCTGTAGCAATATCCTCCCATGTTCAAAAAGAAACAGCAGATCTTCCCATCTTGATCATTACTCTGAGGGAAAAAAAGCATTAATAAATACAGGCATATTTGTAATGCTGTTACTAGACACTCCTTGTACACTAGAAATCCAACTAATACCAAATTATCTGAAAGGCTGATAAGTAGATACAAGGCAAGGGAAGAAAGAAAAAGCTCATCTAATGTCCATTCAGTCTGATTTCAAAATTTTCTTTTCCCAGAGCATGATTATGAATTTGTAGAAGAGATGCAAAACTATGGTTTCTAGCGACTCCCTTGAAGGCTTATCTGCCACTATATGTTGTTCAGGACTGAAAGGAATGAAAGCCCCACACTGTCGCCCAGGAGACAGCATCATTCCCGGTAATATTCAAGACAAGCAATAAAATGTTGACTCCGTTAAGGTCAATAGAAAATTTCCACTGGCTTCAATTGGGCCTATCTGGTACTCCAAGATTTAAGGAAAATTAAAGTATTTCTGGTTGCAAAATGGTTTCTTTCTTGCCAGGTAATGAACAACAGCTAATTATCCCTAATCTGCTATCACACTGCTGTATTACACCTTTATGGATGTATTACAATGAAGAAATACGTACAGCAAATAGTTTTCCACAGCCATGATTTCTAAAGGCTGAATAAATAAATGGCAATTGCCATGCAAAGTATATTTAACCTTTTCATGCTTCAGTTAGAGGAAAAAGTAAATTAGTTGTTTTAACCGTAATTCCCACCCCCCAGCTGAAAAAGGAAGATATCTTCCAGCCTTGAGAGATTTAAAAAAGCTAAACATTTAGTAAAATACCAATTATTCCTAAACAACTCCTTCTACAGAGAAAATGTGGGTTTCTAGACTCAAGAACCATTTCATATAAACATTTTCTGTTTTTTAAATGCAACTAGCATGCTTACTTGCATACTTCATGTACTTTTTTCCACAAAGTAACCCTCCAAAGTGGCATGTATTTAAGCAAAGAAGCTAACTTTCCAGAATAGAGGCATTGGGATGCTGTTATGGCTGTCAGGGCTGTCTCTGTGCTGGGCATGCAGGAGAGGTGGCTTCATTCTTTCCATTTCTGTACCCAAGAAGGAACCCTGGCAGTGATATGAAGTTCAGTTCATTCCCTTGTTAATTATGTTGTAATTCTTCATATTTATATCTTGGTAGACATTTCACCTAAGTCTACGTTTACATCCCTATCAAATATGTAGATACTGTATTAATAGGTACCCTAAGACTTCACCAGTTTGAGTAATCCCCTTGGTAAGGTAATTGATAACTGCTAAGATACCTGATGACACAAACTGGTAAATACAAACAAAAACAGTGTGTACCATGATCATGGTGTTCCTAAAATAATAAAAAAAGTCAAAAGACTTGATGCTTGTAGGCCTCAGTCCTGCAAACACATGCATATAACTTCAAGTATATGAACGGTCACAATGAGTTTGATTGGTCAGTTATCTTTATAAAGGTACTTAGATGTCCCTGTGTTTGCAGGATCTGTATGTTCATTTTGGCTCCTTTAAAAAATTGAACGTTTTGATAGAAAACTGGACAGACCATAATTTGATTGCAAATTTCAAAGTCCTTTTTTCTCCTGAAGTATGGTTAACAGCATTCAATAACTGGCCACCCAGTCATGAAAAATAGATTTGTTACCTGTCATGATCTCATCATCCATCCATCCGTCTATCTAGACATTCTTGCCTATATATAACTGCATAATGTCTGGCTCAGGCCAAGCAATATGATGAATTCTTATACCATATTTGGTTCATCTGTAGTGAAATCCAAACAACTTCGGTCAGTAGAGCATATGGTGGGGATGACAGAACACAGACTAGCATATTTTGAAAGATCACTCCTATGGTGCTCACCCAAATGGCAAAGCCAAAAAAAAAAAAAGATAATGTTGTACAATAACTTTTAATGCAACTTACCAGTGTGGGGCTGGGGGAGGAGGGGTATGGCCTTTAACAGAAACAGGCAGACAGAAATAAAGGATTGAGTATGTGCTTGTTGCGACAGCTATGCATTTTCAAGGGCTCCAAAACCCATTCTCAAGAAGAAGGGGAAGCCCCAATTAGACAGGGATTCGGTAGTGCAAAGGTGGCCAATCTGCAGAATGTGTACCACAAGTGGCACTGGCAGCCAGCATGTGGCACGTGGCAAATGGGCCAGGGAGCAGAAAGCAGAGCAGTGAATCAGGCAGAGGAAGGGGATTGGAGCAGCACCCAGGGAGGGTATGAGGCTTAATCTGTGGCACACCCAAAAAGTTGGCCCCTACTACTAAAGGAACAGGAGACAGCATATAAAGTGAGACTAATGATCTGGTAGCTGAACACATATGCACCCCTCCTCTCACCCCCACTTAAATACTTTTATTAAAGAGGAACATGAACAGGAGCATCCATGTTTTTGTCTCATCTAGATTTTCTGGTTTCAAGACTGCTTTGCATTGGTACAAAAAGGTCAATGACCCAGGAAATGTGTACAGGGAATGGAATATTTGCTGTCGTGGCTAATACAAACACTCAGATTGCTACCTAAAATGAAACTGAAAACAAAGGGTGGGTTATAATAGCAATAGTAACCATTTTCAAGTTAAAAGTTTTATAAGTATCACTAGACTTTACTCTTAAGAGAATTAATGATTTCATTAATTCCTTAAGGGATTTTCAGAGGTATGAGATCTTATTACTCTGATTTCTTTTTTTGACAGTGTGCCTAATGTAAAGATGAGTTACTCTCACACTGAAGGGGAAGAGAAGGTGCCAAATGATGAACTGGAGTGCAAAATCTGTTACCAGAGATTTAATGTTCACAGTCGTAAACCCAAAATCCTGGACTGTCTCCACAGGGTATGTGCTAGATGCCTGACTAAAATACTGCACATAGGAGATGGCTCTCTTTGCATTAGTTGTCCATTTTGCCGCCATGAGACAGAGTTGCATGAAGATGAAGTGGAAGGACTCCCTAATGATACAAACATTATGTCCAAACTAGCGCTGAAAGACAGAACAGCCTGGAATTCTGACTGTAAGGAAGTGGTTTTAACACCCAAAAACTTGGCTTCCTCAAGTCCTTCCCATGGATCTTCAAACTGCTTAGTAATTACAATCATGGAAGTACAAAGAGACTCCACAAGGACTCCAAGCCAAAACACTATCTCAGATTATTATGCAGACCATAGCCTTGACTCAGTATCTCTGAGTTCTCACAGTCAATTAGACCAAGATCTCTTCTCTAAGCTGTGTAATCATGTACCCAGAATACTGGTGTGGCTGCTGGGATTTTTCTATTTTGGTTCACTGCCTCTTGGAATCTATTTATTGGTGATTCAGAAAGTGACCCTAGGAATTGTGTGCGTCAGTCTTGTTCCCTCAAGTCTAACTATATGTCTTGTGTATGGTTTCTGTCAATGCCTTTGTCAGGGAATGTGTGACTGCTCTTCAAGAAGTTGACAGGTGTTACTTTATCAAACTGTACCTTTTAATTGAAATGGAATGACATAATTAGAGACATTTAACATTATGGTCTATTAAAATGGCTGCAGTATGATTTTAAGTCTCTCGGTCACCGTTCTTAGCTATAGCTAGCAAAAAAAATCTATTTTTTTAAAAAGCAAAAAGTACATACTAGAAAATTGGTTAAATAGTATGATTTTTACTATAAAGGTGGTAGTTTCTTAATAATTGTATATGTTTATAACCAGCATTTAAAGATTGATCTATCTAGAAATCACTGGTGAAAACTATGATTACAAAAATGGAATTTTGTTTTTTACAATATGGTGATACCATTTTTTTTAAAGAGCAAGTATCGGAAACACTCCAATTTGCTCTAAAAACACCTTTTAAGTGTCACCTTTTTCAGGTTCTGTGTGGTACTTTCTTATGAATCTTAGGGAAAGAATGAAGATACAAAACCCTAAGATTTGAGCCAAATATTTTGTAAAAGGAAAATGAAAGTGTCATAAATATTTGTAAAACATACGATCAAAAATGTATTTTTCCTCAGTAAAGTTTTTAGCAAGTCATAAGTTACTGCTGAAATCTTAAAGATATAAAACAAACTTGCAGGCAGTTAAACTAAATTTTTATAGGGACAAGTGAAATAGTGTTTTCAAGAATATGTTTTAGAAATTAGCTGTTTCTGAACTATCCTCTGATGGAAAGGATGCCAAAGTAGAACTGGATTTATAAATTGTTTTTAAAATGTTCAGTAAAAATATGCTTAATAAAATATATTTGGTACATTAAAATAATTACTTAGTCAATTCCTAGAAAAATACAACGCCATTTTTTACTTTATTTCATTAATATAAATTCCCAAAGCAAAAATGGTTGATTTTATTTTTGGAACATTTTTATTAAGCCCATTTAATAGTTATATTACATGTTATTTATAAGAAGGTAATTGAATTGTGTATGGTTCTACTGTAAACCTGAATTTAAATGCAAAGCAGTTTGCATAATTAAGGACTTTTTATACAGAAGCACACAAAATAATTATCTGCTAAATCCCCAAACCTACAAATAGGTAACATTTCTGAAGAAAACCATTCTTATTTTCTACTGCGTTTCACTTAAAAGTACATAACTTTAGAATCAATGTAGTAAAAACTTACGTGCTTGATGCCTTATTTTAGTGGTAATGAACCACTGAATTTTGAAGTAATGATGACACCAAATGTTTCTGTTTAAAATTTTGAAAGATTAATTTAAATTCCACATATTTTTGTCTTTGGGTGTGGGGGGAAGGGGGGAGGAGAGGGGACTCTAAATTAAAAAATAATTAAAGTTGTACCACATACAGCAGAAATGTAAGGGGTTATTTTGCTTGCTCTAAAGGAACCTACAACTCGGCCAAACTGTTGACCATTAGGCTAAAACCCATTCTCTGGCACAAAGCCTGAATAAAATGGCTTCACAAAAAGGGGTTCCAAACTAGATTAAATAACTGGCTCTGTGGATGCAGGGAGAGCAGTGGATGTGATATACCTTGACTTTAGCAAGGCTTTTGATACCATCTGCTACAACGTTCTTGCAAGCAAGCTAAGTAAGTATGGGTTGGATGAGTGGACTGTAAGGTGGACAGAAAACTGCCTGGATCGTCAGGCTCAAAAGGTAGTAATCAATGGCTTGATGTCTAGCCAGTATCAAGTGCAGTGCCGCAGGAGTTGGTCCTGGGGCCAGTTCTGTTCAATATTTTCTTCAGTGACCTGGAAGATGGGATGGATTGCACCCTCATTAAGCCTGCAAATGACACTAAGTAGCAGATGTAGTAGATATGCAGGGAGGATAGAGCTAGGATTCAGAGAGACCTTGACAAATTGGAGGATTTGGGCTAAAAGAAATCGCATGGGGTTGGATAAGGACAAGTGCAAAGTCCAGCACTTAAGACGGAACAATCCCATGCACTGGCATAGGCTGGTGACCAACTAGCTAAGCAGCAGCTCTCCAGAAAAGGACCTGGGTGTTACAGTGGACAATAAACTGGATATGAGTCAACAGTGTGTCCTTGCTGCCAAGAATGGTAACAGCCTACTGGGCTGCATTAGTAGGAGCATTGCCAGCAGATTGAGGGGGAGAGTGCAAGGAAGGAGGGCAGGGGAAGACCTCAGGCAGCGAAGGCGCCTGGGGAAAAGTGGCCTGGGAAAAAGCTGAGTGCGGGAGGGAAAAATGGCCCCTTGCCTGCCCCATGGCTGGCACTCCGCACTGCAGCCTCTTGCAGGCCTGTGCCTGCTCCAAACAGGCCCATAGGCTGCAAGCGGCTGCAGCAGGGAGAGCTGGCCATGGGGCAGGGGAGAGGCTGCTTTTCCCCCACCCCCCTGCGCTCAGCACCACCTTGTAACCCAGCCCCACTGCCAGCCTGAGCCCCGTGCCAGCTCTGGGCCCACCCATCGGGGCTGCATGTGGAAACAACAGCTGTGGCCCCCCCACTTGCTGTGCTGGGCAGTGTTTGCCACCACTGTTTGTGGGCTGCCCAGCACGCGAGCACCAGGCAGCCAGCAGCAGCCAACACTGCCTGGCGCGGCAAGCAAGGGGGCCGCAGCTGCTGCTGATACTGAGAGGTGAGCCTGGAGCTGGTGCAGAGCCCAGGCTGGCAGCGGGGCCGGGTTACAAGCTGGTGCTGAGCGCAGGGAAAAGCTGCCCCTTGCTTGCCCCATGGCCAGTGCCCTGCACTGTAGCTGCTTGCAGCCCATGTAGGGCTGCCTGTGCCTGCTTCAGACAGCCCTGTGTGGGCTGTGAGCACCTGCAGCAGGGAGCACCAGCCAAAACTGGGTAAGTGGCCCTCTGCCCGAAATAATTGCCTGCTCCTGTGCTATAGGTATTCACTCAAGAATCATCATTCTTTTTCATCCTCCCCCTTTCCCTCAAATAACTTTTGTAATTCAATGGAAGGAGCCCCACAGACAGTCTCCTGGCAATCTCTTCATCCATTATGCAGGCTTGATCCTGCAGGGCTAAGGGACATGAGTCTGCCAAAAACTGAACTTCATGAATTTATCATATTTTTAAAAAATGTACAAGTGTGGTTGTTGTTACAGATGCATTCCCTACTCATGCAACTGCTGCCATTTCCTAACTAACTCTCAGTAAATTTTCTCCTTAATTTTAGGACTAGATGTCTCTTACAATCTAGTTTCTATTTCTTATGGTCTTTTTTGTCAATACAATAATCCACCATGGCAAAAACCCAAAGAAACATACTCTTTTCCAAGGTAAGAGGCAATGTTACAACACAAATAATCGGCAATAGTCACTATGAAGTGTCACACAAGCCTCTCTGTAAAAGAAGTGCGTTTATTCATTACTTTTATTTATAATTTTAAATGTTCAGTTCTGGACTGGAGACAATCGCTGCCTCAAAAAAACTACTTATCACAGGTTGTTCTTATACCTCAGAAAACATGGCGCAGTTGCTCAAGATTTTGGTTTCCTGGACTAGTTAATAGCTTAAGATGTTTGGTTCTTGAGAAATACCTATCATTGCTTTTCAGTGATCCCATGAACAATGTTGAGACTCCCACTGTATTCACCATACACATACAGAGCAGCATAGCTTCAGGCTACATGCTTCTATCAAGAAGTTCAGTGCTCATACAACTAACACAAGTGAATCGCAAGCAAAGAGTCCCCCTGCCCCCCAACACCCTTTGTACTTGGTTGTCTTGAATTGTTGTCTTCCCCACTTGCAAAAATAGAAGATGTGATATGGCCGTGAGTGAGAAGTTGTGCTGCTTGTGGTAACTAAAAACTACTGCAACCAAAAATATATGTACAAACATTATTATAAATGTGCTCAGATCAAAACATATGTTTATTTTTTGTCATATATGTGCAATAATTGGACTCTCCAAAAAATACGCAAGTTGTTTTTCTTTCCCTATATTAGGTATTGTGAACACAATCTGTCCAAGCCTCTATTTAGTAGGTTAGTTTATCTGACGTGAAATTGGGATGTGAAAAAAATGTACCATTCTCATAACAAAGACAGAAAAATCACAATTCTGGTTATACTATAATTAAGATTGCAAAATATGTTGCCATAAGCTTTTCTGAAGTTACTTCTGACTGGTTAAGTCATGCTTAAATAATGTTTGTTTACAATCTATTTTTAAGAAAGTACGTAAGTTTTAATTTTACTGCTTTTTAGATTTATTTGTTGTTTTTCTTCTTTGTTATAATTACAGCTCTCATTCTGATTTTTCCAAATGTTCTTTAACAGTTGAGGGTCTTTATTTCTTCAGGTTATTCTTGTATTTTGGATTCAACTGCTTTTAGAAATAAGTTGACAGTATATTTGCACCTAAATTACTGGCTTATTTTTGTAAAATGTTTAATGCCTTCACATAAGAGTCACATAACATGACATAAAATACAGTTAAGTAAATGGAAATTTGCTGCTATTTAAGAAGATTACTAGTTGGCATCGTTTAAAGCAGCAAAGCCAACCTTTCTGGCAGGCATGCCATAAGTTAAGCTCCCTGTCTCCACAAGTGCCACTCTGATCCCTGCCCCCCAGAAGCATAGTCTGCACCCTGGGGCACCAGTCTCTGGCTACCCAGAGCAAAGCAGTTGGCAAGATGCTGCTTAAAGAAGAGGGCTGCTGATGTGAAAAAACCCCCAAAGATCTAACGCTGTTAATTTGGCAGCAGTTGCAGGGCCAATGAAGTCTTAACCTGGCTCTTGGAAGCAACACTTCCTCTTGCAGAAGCATCCTGCTGGTACTCCACATAGGCCAGAGGCTTGAGTGTCCTTGCCTCCATTTTGGCATGCCCTTTACTGAGCATCCGGGGCTTGCAGCAGGTGCCTGTGGCACATGTGCTGCAGGTTGGCCATCCCTGTTTTGCTTTCTCTGGGGCTGAAAATTAAAAAAAATAAGTAAAAGCATTTCTTGTAAATGGTTTAAAGCCATCTGGGAAAACACTACTGTGCACTTACTGTGTATGCATTATTAGCAAGGAAGTCCAGAGCTGGTCTCTGTCCTTTATTAGCTGCATTGGCTTTGTTATGTTATGGCCACAGCTGTAACAGGAGTAAGACGGCCTCCGTGGAGGCACCTAGCAAGGCTGCATCTAAAGATACTTTCAGTGATGGATTTGCCACGTGCCCAGCAACAGCTTCAGGTCTCACATTTCCCATGGGACAGAGCAAACAGGGCCCTGCCTTCCTCACATGGTGCTGCCTTAAGTTTAGTAGCTCAGTACCAGCTGGTGCCTCCATGCCCAGGGATGGAGCAGCACTGGCATCTACAGGGCCTCCTGAGGCGGTGCCTTCAGAGCCCACGGCACTGACAGGGTGATCTGCACCTATTGGCAACTGTACACCAAAGGTGCCTACAAGGTATCACTGGGGTCCCCTGAAGCAGCCTGCTTTCCCTGTTTCCACCCTCCTCCACAAGTGGCAGTCCCTGCAGTAGTTGTTGAGAGCCAGACAATGGGGAGAGGGAAGGGGGGGTCTTACTGGTCATGAGGAAGCCAAGACCTGAGTGCTGCTGGTTCTGACCTGCACACAGCTCCTGCCAGGCAGCAAGGGCTCTTCCACTCCCCTCTCCACCCCTCCAGCTGGGCGGTCAGATTTTCCCTGAGCTTGAGCCTGCACAGGACTATTTCTGCCTAGCCGCACCAGCTGAGTTCACTGCAAAGCAGCCAAGCAGGTGGGGAGGTGGGGATGAACCCTGCTGTTCAAGCTCCAGGTGGGAACTGTTCAGGGTGAGAGAGCCACAACACTCCTCTCCAGCTCCTGGCCCCAATCCACCCCTTCACTCAGCCCTGCTCT